TAAGGGTATTATAACTCAGAACTAATTTAGACCAAACCAAACTAGAAGGTAACTTGTAACTTACTAAAATATAAAATATTTAAAATTTACACGAGCAATAGCAATGCATAGCACAGTGTTATGACTCAAGGATAATGTTTTAAAGTAACAGTCACGAGAATGTAAATGACAAGAATTTTGAGCAGTTTACAATGTGCTTAGAGTTCATATTTCTACTTAAATGTCTGACTGTTACCCCACACTCATCATTTCCTTCCCCAGTGACCAGTGTCTGATTTCTATGGATGTCACCAGCAGCTTCCCAATCCCCAAAACTCAGTCACCACTTACTGTACGCCGCCACTGCGCTGTCTTGCCTGCCCTCATCCTAAGTTCTGGCCATCCAATCCTGTCATTTCTCCTTCAAATGCATCCTATGTATTAGTCTTGAAAACCGTGATACTGCCTCTAAACCCACTTAGGTCTATTCTCACCTTAGAATTTTTATTAGAATCAAAAACGCAAAATTAGATACAAAGGCCTAAGAGATCCTGCCTTCTTCACTTAAGTGCACTTCCTGTTCATCTTTAAATTCAAGATTCACTTTTAAAAAGTCTCTCTCATTTCATCCTCGTTTGGGATGAGACCAAGGGAACTCTCATTAGAAGTTCTCCACAGGAGCTCTTAGTCTGTGTCTTTCCTGTCATCAGCTCCCCACAAAGTGCCACCATCTCACCTAGCTGCAAATTCCCTAAAGATGGAGAACACTGTGGCAGCACCTTCTTCTAAGCTCAGTAATGTTTTCTGGAAGTAGAAAAAAGATTAGATAGAACACAAAGGATAACAGGTGGGAGATAAGCGATAAAGAGGAAGGGAAGTGTCAGAAGGGAGTACAAGAGGAACCAGACCAAAGAGCTTTGCAGGCTAGAGCCTCAGGATATGAAAATACTAATGTGAAACACAAGCGCATCAATCCAAAGACAGACACCATGGCTTTTGGCAATCCTAATAGCAAACCTGATTCTGCTATCTGTACACAGGCTAGAAGGAGAATAATCTGTACCTGGTTAAAAAAAAAATACTTCACAATTCTCCAAAAGCACACAGCCATTAAGTGAGGGCATAAAACCAATGTTTAATCCAGTTTAATCAATATTTGAAATTACTTGTTCAATAGGCCACAGTTTGAAGAATTCAGAATGCCTTGAAACGAAGCATGGCCATATCAGATGTTGGAACCACGTCTTCCTGTTTAAACTCGATCTGCCACATGGACTGTGTTACCGTGCTATGGCGCTGTCCTGTGAGTGCTATCCATAATAAGAACACACACATTTACTAAGTGTCTATTATATACCCAGTGCTGGTATACACACACTATGTTAGCCTTCTTAATATTAACAAGAACACTCTGTGAGATAGGCACTATGACCGTACTCATTTTACAAATGAGGGAGATGAGTTAAAAGAAGAGTAAACACACAGGCCATGATAACACAGCTAATAAAATAGAGCTGGGACACGATTACTTTTAAAGATCAAGGGTATTCCACAGCATAGACGGTGAAAATCAACAGGCTTCTAAGATTCTCATGATTAGAGATCTCAATCACCGCTTTAAGAGCTACAGATTGTAGTTTGTACATTTTTACATACAAGAAGAGTTCCACAAGTACATAAATGAATCCTCATCTGTTGGTAATACATGTGCAGAAGACTGTGAACTTGCCCTTGGCTAGCTAGAAGATGAAGTATAAAAGAGGGATTACATCATTGATCTTGAATCCATGAATCAGTCACTATTACGGTGCACATTTTAAAAAGCACAGACTTGTGATACAGGGTTAGTGAAATTTCAACAGTCACCAGCCGAATAGCATAACAAAGAAATGAATTCAGATTTCCTCAATATAGGATTTTACAACTGAACACCACATCACATGACTCTTCTAAAGGTCGCATGTGGTAACCCATAGAGAATGCGGAGAATTTAGCACCAGCTCACAGTGGAAAATGCTGCCTCTTAGAAGACTGAAAGAAGGAACTAGCTAGTCACATTCATGAAAATGTGAGGGTTAATCCTCCTTGCAGCACAGAACAGAACTGAGCCAAGACAGCAACAAAGGTTTATAGGTCTACTAAGGACAAAGTTTCAAAACCTACCCAGCGCTGTTCTGTCACCTAGTGCCCCTGAAAGAAAAGCAGCAGCCAAGGAAACTCCCAAATTACTCTTACTGACCCTGCACACAGCAAGAAAATTTTAGTTCCTCTGCTGTATGCTTCAAGACAGTTAGTGACACAGAGGCAATCTCTTCCACATGCTCAAGAAGCTAACCACAGGGCTTGCTCTAGAGTTGTACAAGAAATGAACTTCCCCAACGAAGAGGAGCAGAGTTGACAGAGCGAGCATAGAGTTGATAACAGTAAGGAGAGGTCTAAGTTTACATTATTTTTAAATGGAAAGGCCCATGTGCCTCCTGTCTCTTTGCCTCCCTCTATAACTGAGGTGTAAAATAAGGTTAACACCCTTGGAGCTGGAGAGACGGCTCAGTGGTTAAGAGCAAGAACTGCTCTTGCAGAAGACCTGAGTTTAGTTTGCAGCATCCATGATGGGCTCACACCTGCAGCTCTAGGGATCGGACGCCCTCTGCTGGCCCCCACAGGCACTTGCACACATGAGCACATTCCTCAGAGACATACATATGAATAGTTAAAAGATCCAAAATAGTTTTTAAAGAAAAGAACTACATTAAAAGAAACAGAATAATTAGCTATCGATTATCTACCGTGGGATTTAGAGTTTTTTGTTTAGTTTTGGTGGCACTATCGGTGGTTTTTGTTTGGTGTCTGCTCACTTTTGTGTTTCTTTTTGTTTGCTTTGCTGGTTCCATGGAACTGGACGTAGACCATGTCTGTACCTGAAAGCCTGGTATCCTAAATGGCTAGGATCAGCCAACAAATTTCATTTCTATGGCCTCAACGTACACAGTGAAGTATGACCTTGGAAACAATGTGATCTAATTCATCAAGGCCAAAGCCATTATCAATTATAACATTTTAGATTTGAAATGAACTAAAACCATCCTTAGAAATATGAAAAGTTACTTTTCCCTTTCCATTTGTGCTGGACCATGTGCTAAATCTGTAGCTCACCTCTTTAAGAAAGTCTCTTGAAGGTGTAATGATTAGAATATGTGAAGTTGGTACAAGAATTTCTAAACAATGTGTGAACTGGGAAGGAAAAAACACCTTGGATAACATTTCATTAATTACATTCACAACTCATCACTTTTATTAGCAAAATGATAATTAGTCACTAATAATTTTAGTCCATTAATTTATTGCTTTTATTAACGATAAAAAGGTATGTGTTAATTATATGTAAAATTGGGGGAATTTAATTATCCAAAAGAATGGATGCCATGGCTTTATATTTTGGTAAGTATTATACAAAAATATATATTATAATTAATGAAAATCTAAAACCCACAGTTTTCCATTTGCTTTCAATCTGTAATTTTATCAGATGTCTTTAGCACGAAAAACCTCTTAAACCAAAGAACTGAGGCTTTCTGAAGCATTCTCCTGCCTATAATGAACAGGGTGGCTGAATGTGGAGCCGCATGCCATTATGCGAAACATTTACTCAATCAGAGTGTCTCCTTGGTGGTTTTCTTCTTCAGAAGCTAAACAAGTCATTAAACAAGCTGCTCCTGAATGGTGGGTCAGACCAGACATAAGCTGCCTTCTGCAGCGTCCTATTGTGAAGCTGTACCCATTTGTGTTTTCTTTGAAGCCATAAAAATAAAACCCTTATGCCCATATTAAAAGCGTAAGAAAAGCATCTATTATGTCAATAGATTTAAAACACAGCCTTGGATGCAGTGAGAACCACTCCAAACGGCACTCATACAATAGCCAAGGTTAAGGGGTGCGTTCCCAGAGAGAACCTTCAAAGGCCCACGAATCATTACGTCCCAACACAGATGGCATCGTAGTGCTCGCAGCTATGGCTTATGGATACCTACAATTCCAGATAAATCCTGCTAATCCCACTCTTTTGTCCGGGCTTTGTACTTTGATGATAACTTGTGGGTGTCTTCTCTACCAGCTGTGGGTGTCTCACCATGTGAATAATGATGGCGTACATGGACATGACTCTTAACAGCTTGTATACGGAGTACAGGCAAAATACTGTACTAGCAACAAATTTATCCCGCACAGAAATCCGTGATGCTTTAATACATTTAACATAAGTTTTCTGTATTCTGAGGGCTTTCTGTTTTTAAGAGAATGAAAACAAACCTGTGGCACCAGGTGGGAAGACTGCTCACATAATGTCACAATCATGCAAAAATGAACACTGACGCTGTCACAAAAATTACCTAAAGATGAGTAATCTCTAACAGATCCTTACAAAGGAAAAGCTTCTGAAAGTATCATTTAAGAAGTGGCACATCTCACAGATACATGGAGTATAAAACAGTAAAGGGTGGTGTGGTGGCTGTAAGGAGCGGGCGTGATTTGGGGAGATGTCGGTCAAAGAAGACAGAATCTATATATGGAATAAATTCAAAATAGCTAGCGTGCGACACGGTGACAGTAGTTAGCAAAAGTGGACTGAACGCTTGAAAACAGCTAAGAGTAGATACTGTTTTCACCACAAAAAGAGCTGCGGTATGGTTACTCAGCGTTTACTTAGTCATTCCAAGATGCAAACATTCTTCACACGTCAGAGATGATATCTATAATTCTCGACAATTAAAAATTAAAAATAAGGTGGCCATGGTGGGGCACATCTTCAATCCCAGCACTCGGGAGACAGAGGCAGGTGGATTTCTGTGAGATAGAGGCCAACCTGGTCTACATAGTTGAGTTCCAGGCCAGCTGGGGCTATAGGGAGACTCTGTCTCAGAAATAATAGTAATTAAAAATAAACACTTAAGGAAAATTATAAATGCTAACGAGTAAGACTTAAGTGGCATTACACTTTAACTGAACGGCTTCACGTCATAGTTTACCTGAAACTTCACAAGGTCCATGAGACTGCTCAAAGAGACTCCTCTTTAACGCCTGTCTGTATATCAGGTGTGGCTTGTTGTGGTCATCTTCATGTTCGCTCCCGTCTGCCTTCATGACAGGTTCTAAGAAATATTCACCATCGTGTGTTCTAAATGTTCCCGTCTGGAATGAAGAAAACACCAACTTTTACCAAGTCACTGAGTGGAGAAGGCACATCGCACCACAGGTTGAAGCGGCACACAGGGCTGAGGCTGCAGCTCAGGGATACAGTGCTTCGGTATGGGTGAGGCCTGAGGCCCTGGGTTCCATCCCCAGCATGACAATAAAACTAAATGCGATCCCTCTCAGTGGCTCATACTTCTGTCCCCTCCGACGTATAAAGTCACACAGACAACACGCTATCCTGATTCACTTGAGATGGCAGGTGTTCCAAGTACTAAAGACCAGTACTGAAAAAGGCCTCAAAATAGAAAAATCTGGAAAACTCTATAAATGTTATACCCTGCTTTTTAATGTATAGAAGGCAATAGGACGAGGAAACACGGAAAATCAAGGTCAGTGTAAGCAAAGATGGATCTGGTGCTAGGACTATGGAATTTATTTTCATTTGTTGTAAATAAGAGACAGGAAGTAGTTTTTTTGTTTTAATAAAGATCCATTTGCTAAATTCTGGAGTCCAACACCAAAGCTGCCCTTGATATCTGTTCTTGACCAACAGGGTCTCGACAGGGTCACAGGACCTGTGCACTTACAAACCTACCTCCCGCACCTCGCCTGATGGGACGTGATCCACATCTCCATCTGACAACCCTCTCACTCACCCCCACCACCCAGCGCTGGTCGCTGGAATCCTGTTCATTTTCTTCATAGCTCTGCTACCTTATATATTTTTGTGTCTGTGGATTTATTTGTTCCTTGTCTGGCACTAGCCACTAAAATACAAGCTCAGTGAGAACAAGGCTCGGAGTATGTTCTACTCTGCGTGTTTGCCATACACCAGATGCTGAATAAACTAAAGGAAGTCAGACTATGAACGTGGAATTTAATCTAGGAACTCTAGGCACTATGAATGGGAGCCAAGAGCACTATCGTCTACAAGAACAAAGGGGCAAACCAGAGGTGAGCTCACCAGCCCTGACCCAAGGCAATGATCAGGGCACAGCAGCTCCCACAGAAAGCCTACAAGACCCAGCACTCACAGAAAGTAGACAAGGACACAGTGAGAGAGGAAACTTGTAAAAGAGAAAATATAATTTGCCTAAAAAGAGATCTAAAAGGGTAAAAACGTCCCCACAGAGCTCTTTCTACCAAGAAATAGTAAAAAGATGTCACAGTTGCATTGCAAGAAGCCCTGCTGTGCCCGGTGTGGTGGTGCATGCCTTGGACCCCAGCACTCACTCAGGAGGCAGAGGCAGGCCAATCTCTGTGAGATCAAGGCCAGCCTGGTCTAGGTAGCAAGTTCTAGGCCAGCTGAGGCTACGGGAGACCCTGTGTCAAAAACAACCAATTAAAAAAAAAAAAGTAGCCCTGGCCTTACAATTTCGCAAAGAATTGCCACCAGATCTTGAAAGTGCAAATAATTCCACTTTTTTCATACTCTTCAAAGGTATAAAAATTTTGACTGCAATTGTTTTAATAAAATTAATGTGAAATTACAATAAAATGTATAAGGACAACATCAAAATGAAACCAAACCAAATGGGCTTACATGCAAATGAGGTTGCAAAAGCCCACTACTGCATTAGCAAACAAAAGAGTCCAGCAACATTAAAAAAAAAGGTGTGTGTGTGGGTGTGTGTGTGTGTGTGTGTGTGTGTGTGTGAAGTTTATCACAGGA